CACATCCCCACGGGTGCCGCCTGTCCCCCATGTCCCCCATGTCCCCCATGTTCCCCATGTCCCCCCGTGTCCCCCCGTGTCCCCGCGCGTCCCCACGGGTGCCGCCTGTCCCGCAGGTGGGGAGGCGCCGTTCCAGGCCGAGTTCCTGGTGGGGAACCGGGACGTGGAGGAGCTGCTGCCCGGGGCGGCGCGGGAGCGCTTCCTGCGGGCCTCGGCGGGGCTGTGGCAGCGCGGGGACCTGCGGGTCACCGCCGTCACCTCGGCCCTGCACCGCGGCGCCCGCGCCCCGCTGCCCATCGAGGGCCGCAGGGAGGGGTACGGCCGGCCGGGGGCACCGCGGGGTGTGGGGTCCACCCGGCGTGGGGTGACAATGCGGGGTGGTCTCACCCCGGCGGGTTTGGGGTCACCTCACACCCCAGGTGGGGTGACAATGCGGGGTGGTCTCACCAGAGCGGGTTTGGGGTCACCTCATACCCCAGGTGGGGGTGACAATGTGGGGTGGTCTCACCAGAGCGGGTTTGGGGTCACCTCACACCCCAGGTGGGGGTGACAATGTGGGGTGGTCTCACCAGAGCGGGTTTGGGGTCCCCCGGCGCAGGGTGATGCTGTGGGGTGGTCTCACCAGGGTGGGTGTGGGGGTCCCCCGGCGCAGGGTGACAGTCGGGGTGGTCTCACTGGGCGGGTTTGGGGGTCCCCTGGCACAGGGTGACAGTCGGGGTGGTCTCACTGGGCGGGTTTGGGGGTTCCCCGGCGCAGGGTGACAGTCGGGGTGGTCTCACTGGGCGGGTTTGGGGGTCCCCTGGCACAGGGTGACAGTCAGGGTGGTCTCACTGGGCGGGTTTGGGGTTCCCCGGCACAGGGTGACAGTCAGGGTGGTCTCACTGGGCGGGTTTGGGGTCCCCCGGCGCAGGGTGACAGTCAGGGTGGTCTCACTGGGGCGGGTTTGGGGTTCCCCAGCACAGGGTGACAGTCAGGGTGGTCTCACTGGGCGGGTTTGGGGGTTCCCCGGCGCAGGGTGATGCTGTGGGGTGGTCTCACTGGGCGGGTTTGGGGTTCCCCGGCACAGGGTGATGCTGTGGGGTGGTCTCACCGGGGCGGGTTTGGGGGTCCCCCGGCGCAGGGTGTACGTCCAGGTGGGCTCCCACAGCCCCTTCTCGCCGTGCCTGGTGGCCGCCGCGTCCCCGCAGAGCCGCGCCCGCTGCCAGCGCGGCCAGCGGCCCCTCGCCTCCTGCTACGACACCTTCGGCCCCCACTTCTCCATCCGCTGGTGCAACCTCACCCTGGTGAGACCCCCCCGTGTCCCCCCGTGTCACCCGCGTGTCCCCCCGTGTCCCCCCGTGTCACCCCCGTGTCACCCCCGTGTCCCCTGTGTCCCCCATGTCACCCCATGTCACCTCC